CTCAGCGTCGAGAAGCCCGTGGACACGAGCGCGGCCGAGGTGGCGGCGGTGCAGGCGATGCGGATGCACTCGAAGATAGGAGCCTGACAACTTTCAGGGACCCGATTGTGCTTGATGCTCGACTTGAGCGTGCTGAACAGGGCCAGGCGCGACTGGACATCGGTCGACGGCTTCTGGAGTGCCTTGAGCAGGTCCGACGTCTCTTTCTCCATCGTGGGCGCAAATTGGCCCTTTGTCGCAAAATAATCCGGCAGCGGTTGAGGCGGGGTGGTTTGTATATGTTATGAGAGTTGTTTACGGCGGGCAGCCATCCCCGTTCACGCTAGACCACTGTCCGAGCAACCGTGCGCTTTACATTGCCGCACTGCCGCTACCCCAGGGGCGCACGGCGATCCACCCTCGAAACTTCTAGATGAATGCGAACAGCTGGTCAGGACGTGTCGCTTATTCGAATGGCAAGGCCGCTTTGATCTTCACGTCACATTGTACATCAGATGGCCTGCCCGAAACTTCCTTCTTTGCCACGTCATAAAGCGCGACAACACCACCGTAAATCACTCAAGCGGGGCCAGCCATGACAAAGTGATAGGCCGTTGCGCCGGATGCGCGGGCTGCACTAGACAAGAGCAATAACGTTTCGAGAGGAGCCGGGTCAAAACAACAACAGATAGTGAGCGAGCGATTTATTTCATTGTACAGATGATCTTTACGGATTTAGGTAATGACAGCCTTCTCTTTGTCCGACGAAGCCGATCATGCCATCTAAGCGTCCTTGTTCTGAGCGTTCCTTTCATCCCAGACACCGACGGCCTCCTCAGCTGCCTTGACACCGCTGAGGGCCATCGCACCAAAGGTAGGTCCCATGCGGTTGGCGCCATCAACCTCGCTGAGTTCCATGCCACCGACGATCAGACCAGGCACGACCTCGCGGGTGCGCTTGACGATGGCATCTTCGGCAGTGCGCATGTCGAGGCCGCGCATGCCACCAAGCTTCTCAATCTGCTGCATAGACACGAGGCGCTTGACGGAGAAAGCGCCGAATGGGCCGTCGTGGCCGGTGGTTGAGATGACAAGCGGTGCATTGATGGTGTTCGGGTCCATGCAAGACTGGTCTGTAAACAATTAGTAAGAGCCGAGAAAAAGAAAGCAAGACTGCAGCGTACCATCGTGATGCATAGAGACAAGAGTCCAGTTGGTGACAACACCAGCGATTCGGACGGCGTTGGGGTCGCTGGAGGTAGGGGCCGGGCGGGTGATGAGGTCCTCGACAGCCGTGGCGTTGAACAGCTTGACATTGGGGAACTGCAGGACCTTGGACAACAAGGTGGATGTGAAGAGCGCGGCATGCTTGACGACGACAAAGTCACCTTCGTCCTCGTAGGGCACGCCGATCTCGTTCAAGAAGAGCTCCGCAGGCTTGCGCATGACCATGGCGCTGAAGAGCTGACCACCGAGCCAGGCACCGCCACCAGGAGCAACGCCAGCTTCGACGATGGCGATCTTGAGGTCGGGACGCTTGGTGGCGAGCGTGTAAGCGGCAGACAGACCGCATGAACCCGCACCGACGATGACAATGTCCGACTCAGCGTAGGTGTCAAGGTCGTTGAAGTAGCGGCGGGTCATGGCACGAGACACCTGCGACTCGCGGATAGGGGCGAAGGTGAATTTCTCCCACTTGTTCTCGAGCTCAGCGACAGACTTGGCCTGTCCGTTGAAGGCAGCCTTGACAGCGAGGTCCTTCTTGATGCCCATGTCGTTGCTAGCGACGGGGGTCTCGAAAATGGCGGCTGGGGGAGACATGTTGAAAGGGGTTCAAGGGTCGAAATCTGCGAATTGTTAAGTCTGTTCCACGCAGGAGAGACAGAGCAGAGCATGATCCTTTTCGCAGGTATTATCCTGATCAAGTTCGAAACCGTATAATCTCAGAACGAATCCAGCAGGGCCCGACAACCGCACTTAAGTAGGAGAACTACGACAGTATGGAAGACGGACACTGCTGGAAACGAACACCGGTTCATGCAGTATACTTAGCTGTAAAAGTACCTATGTGACTTGAGGACAACGCCCACGTGCGGAACATGTTCTGCATCGTGGTTGCCATACTTGGTCGGGACGAGTATCTGCATGATGGTCAGCCATCGTTCTTGAGTACCTTGAAGCAGTGGATGAGTACGGATACTGAATAACTTGAACTTTGCAAAGACAGTTAGACTGTTGTAGGAAAAAGAAAAGAGGAGGGGCAGGTAAAAAGGGAGGTTTAAATATTCCAACGTGCCCCGCCACCTCGTCCACGAATATCCTCAGTCATCCGTTGGGGCGGGGTAGCTCTTGCTGTCTGCATATGAAGTGCTTGAATACAGAAGGACCCACTGTATTGTACCGCGTCCGGACCCATGTGTTCAGCACCGCGGAGTATTTTATTCGTGAGAACGGCATGTGGTGACAGGGTCCTGCATTAGTAGTCCTAATTGGGATGCAGCTCTGCGCAGTAATACATCATTAGCAAGAAGGACCGACCCACCAGACGGGAAAATTGAGGACCACACATGCTCGTGTAATTGAAATATCACCGCGATAGAGTGTGATTCGAGGAAGGCACCGGCTAATGTTGCGAGACTTCCAAGGTTGTCGTTCCTGCCTGTTAGCGTTGGTGTTGCTCAAGACGAGCTGGCTTGGCATTACGACGTTCAGTCAGGAAGGCGCCACCACGACATCATACTTTCACAACCGTTCCTAGTGATAGTTCTTGAACATGTGCCAATAAAGCAGCGTACGCGCGAAAGTCTGATGATCGCACAGCAGGAATAGATACCGCAGGGGATCTGGAAGTATATCTATTTCAGTCTTCAACTTGCTCCGATAGGACTTCCGACGAACCTTAGTATATCAGGATATCTAAGTTAACAAATCGATAAGTTCTCTATGGAACCAGTCATATGGTAACCCATGCTGCCGAACGGGCTGGTAAACTTAATCGTGTACCAAAGGCAAGGTACTATAATACTGACTCAATAAGGTTGATCGAGACCCGCTCAGCGATGTAGATAAGGTTGAGGCGGGCAGCGGCAGCCGAACTCGAGTCAACACAGAGACAAGGCAGAGCCTGATTGCCTGAGTTTTCAGGTGGTGATCAAACGTAGTGGCGGACGGCAGCGGACGGTACAAGCATCCGAGGTAAGGCTGTTTGGGTGGCACGACGACATGTCAAACAGCTTTGGTGTTGCGACAGGCGTTGATGAGACAGATGTGCGGCAACTGTCTTCGGATGCGTGATACGTGGTACCTGGTGTTGTCTGGAAGTATGCCTCGTACGGGTAGAAGAGGCGTTGTTAATGGTCGAGCGCAAATCGCGGTTGGGCGCTGACTCTTGAGGCGGGCAGATCAGCAGGGTGGTTCGGATCGATGAAACGCGTCTGTGTGCGCCTCGTTATTCCCGTTTGTTTCAGGATCGTGGCAGAAGGATTCCGAGGGGAGCAAATGCCGATTGGTAAGTATTTTCCGACGTGTACAGGATGATGCAAAGTAGTTGGATACCTCGGCGATGTATGCACGCGAGGATCAAGGCTGAGTAGAAATGCTCAGGAGTCCAACGAACGGGATGTTGACGGCGTGGTTCCTGTGCAACATTGGTTCTGGTGAGCACAGGCGGTATGATAGGGCCTCGCTAGCGGCTGGACGTCGAGAGTGTTCGAAATAGAGACACGGGTGTTTTGCGGGGAATGAACGCGTCCTTCAATCTCTCGAGGGCGACCGCACTTTCCGATAGGATGGTGCGCTGACCCGGCATTGGACTCTGAAACAAGCGGATGATATTGTAAGCTGTGCGAATGTTTGTCTGGCTACAGATTGTTAATGTATTGGCAGGTCAAGAAAGCGGCCGCGTTCCTGCATGATCTAATGCTAGACATGTGTGCAGCGCAGATGACGGGCATGTGCTGATGGAGGCGCTTCAGGGGAAAGGGCTCAGATTGCGTCAGCTATTTTGAGGATTGGGAGGATCGAGGGATGAGTTCCAATTAGTGCGGGAGAAGCGATATTATTAATTGAGCTCGTGATGCGGGTGATGACCACGTCGCGTCTTGGAGGTGGTCAGAAAGACAGGAGGTTCAGAGCTATATGCGCCACGCGCAGTGTGTGCTGGGCTGAGGATTGGTACCAAAGAGACTACTTGAATCAAGAGACGATTCAAGAGTGCCGGCGTTTGCAAATGATAGCCCTAGGGTGGTCAGTTGTGCAGTGAACAGGCCGTTGTCAGAGGAAGGGGCCCTGGAGCGCACGATCTGCGATGGCGTGTGCTTGGCAGGGCCTCTGCAGACGTCGTAATAGCGCGGTGGAGCTGGAGTCGCAGCCCGGTCTCGAAAGCTGACCACCTTGGGCCTGCGCCGTGCGAGTGTTTGGAATTCCATGGTCGTGTTCCCATGTGCGGCACATGCTGGCAGCCGTGGTAGAGGCGCTTAGCAGGTCTATCAAAAGTGCAGCTCGGGGCCAGAGGACACGCGCAGAGGCTGGATTAGGCTTTCACTCTTTACATCCATCGCCCGTGGTCCCCTGGCCGTGGCCGCCGCATGGATTTGTCTGCCGCGTATCTTTCCAGACCCTGACCAGGCACTAGCCCGCCCATTGGCTCTGCACCTCCACACCACCACGACGCCGCTGCGAGGTGCGCCTGTCTCGTCGACCAACCTAACTGCCCTGGGCCCGAGTCGCGCACAGAAGCCGTTCGCCTGTGCACCGACGCCGCTGCTGGTCGTCGCCTTTGCTTTTGCGCCGTTGGCACCCACGCCCTCCTCTCGCCTTGCACTGTAGTCTGCGCTGTAGTCTGGTGCTAGCAACTTTGGGGATCGCCCAGACGACGAACCACTGAACACGCCCACGCCCTGCCAGCTGCCAATTGTCCCTCCGAGCACGACACGGCTCCGGCGCCGACTGCACGCCCGCCCTCGCGCTGCCCGCCAGCATTGCTACTGCTCCTTCACCGACACGCATATTTCTAGCCCGCCATGGAGAGCCCGACCGGCTACCCAGAGTCTCCGATCGACGACGAGGTCGTGTATCCGTGCAAGGGATGCGGAGAGGTATGAGCCGCTGCTACCACAACTTCCCCTCTGCAATCGCTCATAGCAGTCTAGATCCTCGAGGAAGGCAAGGCCTTCGAGCTCGGTATGCTTCCCCGCTGAGCCAGCACCACCACCACAATCGCGCCTTCCTCCCACCGCCCATGCCAACCACCTGCCGAGGATGTACATGCTAACATTGCCTAGCCGGAAACCGATGGCATATCGACTGCTTCCGCTGCAACACGTGCGGCACCCTCCTCGATTCGGATGCGAACCTGCTGCTGCTCGGCGACGGCTCCCTGATATGCAACAACTGTACATATAGCTGCAACCACTGCGGCAACAAGATCGAGGATCTCGCCATCTTGACCGGCGACCAGGCCTTCTGTGCCAACTGCTTCCGGTGTAGGAATTGCAAGCGCAAGATCGAGAACCTTCGCTATGCCCGCACCTCGCAGGGTATATTCTGCATGTCGTGTCATGAGTCGCTCATGGCTCGACGGCGCAAGAAATCCAAAAAGCCGCCCTCAGTGGCGCCCAAGGTGGACAAATCGCTGCCTGCTCTGCCTCCCCACGAGCAATCCCAGTCCACCTTCACCCCAGACCTGGATACGCCATCCGACATCTTCTCGGAGCCCACCACGACCGACGTATCCCCGAGACCTCCTCAGCCGCGCCGGGGTGATTCGTCGTCAAACTTCAGGCGCGATGCTTCACCAATTGGAGATGCTGCACGAAGGGGTATGGAATCCACATGGTCTACATCATGCTCACACATAGCTAACCTAGCCACAACTACAGACAATACCACACTTCCAGCAACAACATACAACAAGGACAGCGCGCGTTCAGAGCTGGTAGACAACGGCGACGACGGCATCCTCCTCCCCTTCGCTCTCGATCCCAACCCTGCGCCCGGCCCATCACCGCTCGGCCGACCCATCAGCAGGTTCAATGACCGAACACTGGGAGCCAAACCGACCGGAAGCGGTGACAGCAAGAGCGGGCGCGATTACTTTAGTAGGCCCACTGGCGACCATCGCGAGAAGCTGAAGGAGAACGGGTCTCGAGAAGCCTCCAAAGAGAGACGCCAGACGCAAACACAGAGCCCGCACATTGCCTTCCAGGAGAAAGGAAGGCAGCCTTCGGACACACTGGTCGAGACACTTAGGAAGAAGAAGGACACATCCAGCGAATCTCCTGCCGCTGAGCCTCGGTCGAGGAGTCAGCACGCTTCTCCCGCCCCTTCAGGTCCAGAACCCTTCAAGTTACAGGATGTACCCAAGAACAAGAAGGCGGAGGCCAAACGCAAGGACTCCGACGAGACGCCATCACCGCAACCGCAGCAACAGCAGCAGCAGTCTTCTTCCAAGAACGACATCATGTCTGCGCGGCTGAGTCGTCCTCTCATCGAGCCAACCTTCACTAGCTCACCACCACTTGGCTCCCAAGATTCACCTCAAACCTCAGAATCGTCGTTCGGCTCCAATCTTCCACTAGAACGACCTGCGCGTGGTGATTCGCTCAAGGCTTCGACTCTGAAGCCTTCAGCTCCAATCTCACGAAACGAGAGGGCCCCATCACCCACCACACCGACTTTAAGCCATCCAGAGCGCACATCATCCACCAACACAGCCAGCGCGAATCTCAACGCCGGACTTGGCATACTCAGTCCTTCGGATTCGCCAGCCTCCAAAACTCCATCAGACCCTCCAGTTCTCCCCGCACGTTCAGGTGGACGGCCAGCCCCGCCCTCGACCGACACTTTCACATCTCCACGCGCACCCCCGCAACCACCTGCCATTCAGCAACACAAGACGAGCGATTCCATCAGCAGTGCCCAGAGCGAAGCATCTCGAGATGCATATGGAGCTGGTGGCCTTCCTCGATACAGCGCTCAGGGCGATTTCTCCATGGATGAGGATTTCGCGCGTTTGCTTGGAAGTCAGGATGGAAGAGACGAAAAAGACAACGGGGTTTTCAGGAGAGTTTCGAACGCTGTGTCCAAGCATGGGCGCAGTTTCAGTGATCGTGGTTCAGTCACATCACGAGGTCACAAGAAATGGCCTACGAATGGCTCCATCGACATTAGCAGCCCGACAGTTGCCTCGCCCGACACTAAAGAGGAAGGCGTCAACTTGCGCAACGAGCTGCGCCGCGCCCAGCAGCGGATCGCTGAGCTGGAGGCCGAGAAGAATGGCCTACAAGAATCGATGCATAGTGCGGCCGACATCAGACAGGCAAACACGGTTCTGCGAGAGAAGCGAAACACCATGGCTGTCTTGGATACGCAACGTGAGATGGTGATTCGCGAGCTTGAAATCATGACTGAACACCTCAAGCACGCTAAGAGCGGTCAGGGCAACGTTGAAATCGGTCAACTCAAGTCAGACATTCTCAAAGACTTTGCAAACTCGTTGCAGAAGCTCAAAGACAATTTGGGAAATCAAATAGAGGACCTGATCACGAAGAGATCGGAGTTGACGGAGGAGATCTCGAACCTCATTCAGATGAAAGACAAGGGTTTCCAAGAGTACGAATCGCTCACGGCCGCTAACACTAGACTTTCCGCCATGAACAGGGACCTGGTAGATAACATCCAGACCAACCTCAAGAACAACAAGAAGAGTGGACAGAACCTTGATGTTGCTGCCAATGGTCTTGGCATATACAACGCGCAGCACAAGGGCGGCAAGTCCGAAGTATCCGTGGATGCACCAGCGATACCGCATGATCACTCCTATGCCAATCTCGATGACGGCGAGGCGACCGTCGCGCAGCCGCAAGTCGTCAACATCAGGAAGACCGGTAAACCCACCAAATTCTCTACCTGGAAGAAGGGCGGACAAGCCATTACGAAGAACGTCACCAAGGGCTTCAAGGGAGCATTCGGTTCAGAGCAGAAGCAGGAGGACTACAACGTCAAGGTCATTGGCACTCCTTACGGCTCCGTGCACTCCGGGCCTGACATTGCAGCCATGTCCATGTCGAGCTCCATCAAAAGCCGGGATACCATGGACCAAGGGACCCCGCGAGGCTGGTTCGGTGGAAAGCCTGGCAACGTTAGACCAGGCGGCCCGCCGCAAGGCTTTAGGCCCATGCAGAACATCAACAACAGCACCACTAATCTGGCTGCCGCCGACGCCAGTACAGTGCTCTTCGGGTCTGACCTGACAGCACGATGCGAATTCGAACGGCAGATGATTCCACGCATCGTCAGCAGATGTATCGAAGAGGTTGAGCTTCGCGGCATGGATGTGGAAGGTATCTACCGTAAAAGCGGCGGTACCTCTCAGGTGAACCAAGTGCGCAGTGGCTTCGAGACGGACACCGAACACGACATCTCGGATCCAGATCTCGACATTCACTCCGTCACTTCTGCGCTGAAGAACTATTTCCGCAGGCTCCCTGTGCCGCTGATCACATACGATGTCTATGATCAGTTCCTTGAAGCTGGCCGTAAGTTCGTACCATCCGACGACAGATCAAGTGCTAATGATTGTACAGAACTGGAAGAGCCGACTGCTCAGTCTAGAGCTTTGTCTGCCGCTGTGAACGAAATTCCCAAAGCTCATCGTGATACCTTGCAATTCCTCGTGTTCCATCTGTCGCGGGTCATACAGCACGCCAGTGACAATTTGGTACGTCCACACGATAGATGTTTAACGTATACCATGACTAATATGTGAACAGATGACACCACTCAATGTTGCCGTCGTTTTTGCGCCAACTATCATGCGGCCTATGGACATCCAGCGCGAACTTACCGACGTACAACAGCAGCGTGTCGCCGTGCAAGCGCTTCTGGAAAACTACAAAACAGTATTCGGTGATGAATAAAGTGAGCGCAACGCTCACAAAAACTCACAAGGGCAATCGAAGGCGCCCAAAACTTCTGTTATATCGTTTCCATTTTTCAACATGTGTATCTACAGCGGGCGTTGCGGGCCCGATCTCCAAGAGCTTGTTTGTCCTTGTCTTCGTGTATCATACGAATCTGCATACAGTTTTGGATCCTATCTGTATCGAGGTCCGTGAGGCATGTATCGATGGCTACGATGAGTTTGTGTTTATACCCTTGGGGCTTTTCTGCTTGACCATCTAAGCGAAGTCGGCGATATATAATGAATTGTTGAGACTGTTGTTCTTGTATGCATCCGGTCCAGATCATTCACATGTTGCGATGCTCCACATAGATGTGCTGTTCCTGTGCTTGGCGCTTTCGCTACGTCGCCGCTAACGCGCTCAGGATGACGTCGGTCACCGCCCACTAAGCGAACAGGCATGTGAGGGAGCCTGTTTCCGGTCTCACACGATCGCCCATTGACTTCGCAGCTTCCCGGTACCCATCGACTGATCTGCAAACCTCACATCAACCCTTGCGACAGCACTTTTTTCACTTCTCTATCCAACCACCACTACCCCTCATACATCATGTCTTACGCAGAGATGGCCGCCAAGGGCCCCAAGCAGAGCCCCGAGGAGGTGAGTTATTGAAGAGCGCTTGTAATCTGTGTCAATGCTAACTTGAGGACAGGCGTAAGTCACCCCGTTCGTTTGGATGGAGTTTACCCCTCCGACGTCACCTTTGACGATGTATCGCGGCACGCCGACTGCATCTTCATCAAAATACGAGCACTGCGCTCTGAGACATGAAATTGTATGAGCTTTTCTGACGTGGCATTGCAGTCGCGCCCCCACCCAACCTGAGATCGAGCACGCTTCCGACGACAGCGTGCACTCCCTTGTCGACGTAGACAGCCCGCACATCTCCTCGGTCCCCTCGGACTACGAGTCGCAGTCCGTCAAGACCGACACGCAAGCCGAGCGCATGGAGCGTGAAGAGGAAATCAAGGAAGAGGCCAAGCACATCAAGGACCGCGCTGCAGCAAAGAAAGAGGCAGCCAAGGACAAGATGAAGAAGAACGCCGACAACCCGGTCGTGCTGAGCAACGCAGTTGGTCTTGCCGTTGTTGGTGGCATCGTTGGGTTTGGCGCATACAGGCAGTATGCCCGCGGCGAGCTGACCGGCAAGGTCGTCGCGGCCTGGGCTGCTGTCATTGGACTGTTCGGCGTTGGCGACTACTACGTCAGCCAGTATGTTGTCCCAGCAGGAAGTGCTCTGATGGAACGTGTGCTAACATTCGCAACAGGTACTTCTTCAAGCGCAACCCCCCGAAATAGACGTGCTGTCTAATCGCTTTGTTCAAATTTGCACTCCACTTCGATAGCACCTCGTACGACAGAATCATGCTGAAATCTTGATCATCTGAACAGTGCCGGTTTGGCTATGTTGTCTTTTGCTTTTCCGCGGTACCATATAGCAAGCAAGGGGTTCTCTACTCGGTTCCGGTCTTGAGGCGAGATGCTTTTATGAGTCCACTTCTGTATATATGAGGTCAACGTTCAATATACCCGTTCAAACACAATCTTGACTTTACCAAAGTGAAACAGGTTACGCATGCAATGCTTGAACGATTTTGCGATGGCGTCCTGATTACCATATCGGATATACTTGAGACGATGCCCAGAATTCTCGGAAGTTCCACCACGTGATCCGAGATCTCCAGCCACGCAGATCCCTGCTCCTTCCGCTTAGAAATGCAGGTCCCATAACTTTTACGTAGTGACGACACTTCCGTGTACCGTTGACATCCGCCACGTCTCTCTCTTTGCATCTCTTTCCTGTTTCACATCTTTTAGCATCATGTTCCGTGCAGCCCCACGGTTAATTGCGCGTCCAGCGCTGCGAGCCGCGCCACTACGGTCTGTCGCGCCGGCCAGGCGGTACTTGAGCACCGCACCACCATCACAAAAGTCGAGAAGTTTCAAGAGCTTGGTTGCTAGGCTGGGTGTTGCCGGAGCAATAATATACTATTACAACACCACGGATGTTTTCGCAGAGGAGCCAAGACGTATGTTCAGACGCCAATGGACGGACGAATTGAACCACAGTAGCTGATCCTGCCTCAGAACTTGTCCAACCCCTCCCGGAAACCGAAGTTGAATCCGAGCACCTCCCGACCATCGAATCCATCTCCGAAGAGCGCAAGCGACGACAAGCAGTACAGGCACAACTAGAGGCTCAGAAGCAAAAAGAGGCTGAGCGCGCACAACAGAATGCGAAGCCTGCAGAGGATGGCCAGGGCGGCATAGAAGGACTCGAGGAAGAGGCAGATCAACAGGGCGCATTCAACCCGGAAACAGGCGAGATCAATTGGGATTGCCCATGTCTGGGCGGCATGGCCCATGGCCCTTGTGGTGAGCAGTTCAAGGCGGCGTTCAGCTGCTTCGTGTACTCCACTGAGGAGCCCAAGGGCATGGACTGCATCGACAAGTTCAAGTACGTTTACATCACAGTAGAGCCGCAACAGGCCTGCGAAGTTTGCAATTGAGCAAGTAGCTAACTCGACGCAGGGACATGCAAAACTGTTTCCGCGAATACCCCGAAGTCTACGGCTCAGAGCTCGACTCCGATGCCGATGACGAAGACGATATGACCGCCTCGCCCGAAACCCCATCCAGCCCCTCCAGCGCGCAACAAGACTCCTCATTACAACCCTCCACCAACGACCACGCCGCCTCAGCCAAGGGAAAGTTCTCTGGTGAACGCAACTCGAAACCTCACACACCAGAAAACAGCCTAGTCCCCGAAGAATACAAGCCAAACGCCAAACACAACCCGGTCAACGACGCAAGGGGAGATATGAGCAGCTTGGATAGCGAGAAGGAGAAGGAGAAGAGCAAGCAGAAGCCAAAGGGCGACAGCGATACCGAGAGGGCGAACAAGGCGCGGGCGCAGGTTAAGAGCCAGGAGCCTGTTAGCGAGAGCGAGAGTATGGTGCCCAAGGCTAGTCATGATGCTAGTGAGAAAGGAACAGGGAAGCTGGAGAGGAAGTAGAGGGGTTGTGAGAGATGTGTGATGAAGGCGGGACGTGTGGAGATATGACGGTATTGTATTATATAGTTACGTGTACAGCATGTTTGAAGAACCAAGGGGGGCATTTAGACAATGGTGTTCAACGCTTCTCTGCTACTGACGAAAATCATGTACAGTATATATAGTTTCAACAAAACATTCCTGCAAAATTCACATCTAAGAACGTTCTGCTGAGATATCAGGCGACGTTCACATCAAAGATTCTGGCTCTAAGAAATGGGATTGCAATCGTTCTCAATAATAGAAACTACTTGTACAGCAGGCACTCCAGCCTACTAGAAAAGAAAACTTGAACACATCGGGCCATTGTAGCATAATCTTAGTTCCGAATAGCGTAGGTACCAACTCATTGTACGCCAGAAAACACCCCTTTGAGACCAACAACCACGTATCCCCTAATCCAATTCAGCGCATCATGCTATCCTGACGTTTGTGGTCTTCACCGTGTCCGTTGTGAGGCTTACAATCGACACGTGAGTTACACTGTCCCAGGTCCTCACTACCAATGGCACTTTCCTGTTCCTCCTTTGTTCCAATGCGATAGTAAGGAAGCGTCTCATACGCACACCCAGGTCTCAATTCGGAGGACCACGTCTTAAACACGTCGCGCGCGCTAAGATGTCTCTAAATCTCTACTTTGCTGTAGCCCTCTGCGCCCTCGGCAAGGGGCTGGGCGACACCAGCATCGACGCTGTCGCGCTTGACGCCCATGCTGTCCTCGCCCTTGCCTACGCCGAACATGCGCATAGCTTCTGTGAGCGCCTGAACGGCGTCTTCGTTGCTCATGCTGCCGGGGAGACCCTGACCACCCATGGAGCTGCTGATGCGCTTGGTAGCGTCTTCGAGTGCGCGGACTCTCCTCTGGAAGTTGAGACGGTCCATAAAGAGCTGCTGGCGGCGGCGTTGCAGATCGCGGCGCTCGGCGGAGAGGAGCTTCTCGAAGTCGTTGAAGTGAGCGAGCTTGAGCTGGAGCTTTTGGAGTTGGAGGTTTACGGCGCCGGAGACGAGACGGGTGATGTGGCGTTCTTCGTGCGAGGCTAGTGCTGAAGAACGGGCGGCGGAAAGGGCGAAGGGAAGGGTGGCTAGAGGGTTGGGGTTGGAAGACGAGTCGGATTCCCGTGTGGCTACGGCGGTGGACTCGGCAGAGGGGTCGACGTCCATAGCGTCGCCGCCTTCTGGCTTCATGTCTGAGGCGGTTGCTGCGGGTGTGGACTGTTCGCCTTCCTTCTCTTTGCCCTTCTCTGACGGTGCGGTCGGGGCTTTGTTGATCTTCTCTTGAAGGATGCGCTTCATCTCGCCGACACTGCGCCCTGACGCTACCGCCGCCTCTGTGACGTTTGCAGGAGCAAGACCAGCAAGGAAGCTGACGACGCTGAGAATCGGGTTGTCGGCGTGGTGGATGGGTACACGGCCTTCGCTGAGGTACTCCAGATCACGCAAGAACTTGGTTGAAGGAGCTGCCGATTGTGACTCTGGTAGATCCGCCTCGATGTACTTGTCCTCAATCTCGAGCTGCAGGAACTTCATCACGCACTGCTCGCGTGTCTTCGTCTGGACGTGGTCGGCGACACGGTTCCAGTCATCGTCAAACTCCTCTAAGCCCTCGAGTAGCAAAAGAGTCTCCTCTTCCGTCCACTTCTCTTCAGTCTCCGCGGCTGCTGAGTTCTCCGGGTTGGAGATCTTTGTGAAGTCGGCCGAGGATGTGCCTTGTGGAAAGTTACCCTCCACGAAACATCTGGGGCAAAGGTCGCGCTTCAAGCCACCAGCAGCCTTGATCTGGCCAGTCTGCTCGGAAGGTTTCGTTTCATGGAAATGTACACGGGTACATTCGACACCGCAACTGAAGCAGTTGATGACCTTGGTTGGCTCCTTCGCGGCGGCTTCGAGATCCTTGACGTCT